CCACCATGGTGGGAGGGGCCTAACCTGCTATAGTTGTTCATAGAAGACTGGGTAAAGCAAATAGAGCAGGACGATGATGGTTGTGCCCCATAATTGGACTCTGCTCCATTGCCAACAGGAGATGGGTCAGGCCTCCTCCAACAAGGCATGATGGAAACCTCCATGGAATAGCTGTGGAATCACTTGAAGGGAAGTGCAAAGTTCATTCTTGCACCCACTCCTGCATCCCACGTGGCACATTTTAATAATAATATGTGGTCCTCAGAGGAAAACTCATTGGGCAAAACTTTACAGGACAAAGTTTAGCTGCAGACCATGATTTCTTAGGACTAAAAGCTACGAAATGAAAGAAGACAGAGAGCAAACTGAGGGGCTGACTGTCTGCGAAGTTTCTACTCTGAGATGCTGGCTAGAAACTGAGACCTCCACACTGAGTGAGAGCGGAAATCACCTTTAGGAGGCCCCATAATAAACTCTTGGAAGAGCAACCATGAACCTGGACCCTGAGACAGTAGGGCCAAGGAGGAACTTTTATGGTAACAGATTTTGAGCCAATTTGTAAATTGAATAGACTTATTTCTTACAAGAGTTCAAACTCAATGCCTTGGAAATGGAAAGAATAACAAGAATATAACCTCTGAGGGGTGAGGGGAGATTCTGGGGTAGGAGTTCGCAGGCACTCACTCCATGCCTTATAAAATCTGTGCTAAGAAGGTGCTTCTATCTGCATTTTACTGATGTGCAAAGAGCCTCAGTAAGAGGAGGCCCTCAGACTCTGAAAAGGGGCTAAAGCAAAATTTTGAACCTACATAGATCCAACTCTGTGGTAAAGGAGCCAAGAGCATTCCTAGGGTGGGGCCTGGGAGTGGAGGGGCAGCAGACTGCCTAGCTTGCAGTCCTGACTCTGCTCTTCCCTAGCTGCATGGTCTGGGTAAGTTATCGAACTTCACAGGGCCCCAGAGTACTCATTTGTCTAATAAGGTAAAAGTAGCAGCCACCACATAGTAAAGATTAAGTAACTCTTCATATAGGTGAAGAAAGCACTTACCACAGTTCCTACTACACAGTAAGCACTGTGTTTGTTAGCAGTAATTAGCTATTATTATTATACAATCATTAAACTTTCTTTCACCACAGCCACGTCACACTACTTTTATGGCCTCCTCTGCTCACATTAATAAGTAGACTCTGGTGATATCACAACTTTGTGCAAATAAGTAAATTTCCTTATGAGGCAAGCATGCCATTTGACCAGTTTGGAAAAAAAAACTCAGATAGATATCAATAGTCTTTGCAAACCAAGTGTTCCTCACACCTCATGGATGTCTTTGTGAAGTGGTTGCTGGTTGTTGTGCTGTGTGTGTGTCCACCATGGCTCCCAGGCTGGGTCAGTATGAAAGGGATTGTAGTTCACAGAATTATTTTCAACCAGAGCACAGCATAACTTCTTCTTCATTTTTTTTATCCAGTAGCATGCTTTTTGCAAGTCTAATTTAACAGACAGCTTTTTTGGCTGACCTCTTTATATTTCACACCCCTTTGGGCAATAGAAGAAATGAAAGCTGAACTGTATGTGTATGGGACAGAGAAAGAGAGAGAGAGAGTCAATATCATTAACTCCACTCGTGCTGTATTTCCTGCAATGATAATTACCTTACTTTTTAGTCTTAAGACACTTGGATCTTTTAGAAAGTAGGTCTAGGCTATTTACCTTAAACCTGCACCAGAATAACTTAAGATATTCGTTTCAGAATCTTTTCCAGATGTGAAACATACAGAATTCCTATACAGGAGTTCTATAAAGAGTGAATGATCCACTCTTCGAAATGATTGTTTACTTATTTAGCTTCAGAAACAACAATTCACTCTTTGACCTTCAAATCAGAAAACAGAATAATATACATGTTTGAAGCAAATTAAATAACTAAACAAATAAATGCATATAAATGAGATCAGGATTTAGCCACCATTTTATATATTTGCAAACTGATCTGGTCTGTATACAAGATATCATCACATTTGACCAACTAGTTACTTTTTAAAGTAGAGTTCAGAAATCATTAAAATCCAAGAAAGGAGTCAGAGAAAGCAGGATGACAGCTGTGTTTTATTGGACTCTCCTCAGTCAAGCTTTGATAAGGCACCATGCAGCAAAGAACTTCCCTTGCTAAACTATTGTTTGGCCCTCATTCTCTATAAAAATGACCCAGACAAGGTCTTTGACAGACATGGTCAAGAAATGTAGGTTCCTTTTCAATCCACTACACATATTTCACCTCAATCCATTCATCTTCCCCTGGTTGACAAAGACCCACAATCTATTAAGCTGACAACCAATATTAGTGGTTTCTCATTAAAACCCCCTATAAAAGGTGACAAATTTGGTGGATTTTTTTCCTCTGATGCTTTATGATAGATAAACCTAATACATTGTCCTGCTTCCCCAGAGTATTATTTTTACATGCTGTTATTCTGGAATTAACAAGTTTGTCAAAAAAAAAAAAAAACATGGTAACTGAACTGACTTTCACAGAGAACTTAGTGGAATGCTCTTCCCCTTAGATGTGTCCAAGATAAAAATTCAAATCTAAGAGGTGGAAGAAAGGGAATTAACCTTGTTGGACAGCCACTCTCCCCTGAATTCATTTCACTCACAACACACACACACACACACACACACACACACACACACACACACACATACAGGAAGTCAGGAATTACTAATGCAAGCTTGGTTCATAAAGGGTGGATGCAGGAATGACACACCCAAGTCCCAATGTGTGACATTATTTAACCAAGCACAATGGAGGCAGCTCCCACACAACACTGTGTACACCATTTAGCCATACCCATTCCTTTCTCTGTCTAATCTACCCAGATATCCCTGGAATAAGTATCACTGGGCTCAAAGGATTCTCTTTGAGTCAGGCAGATGGCTCAAAACCCTCAGATTTATGTTTTTGCCCATTCAAGGAGCCAAAGGGACAGATGACCCCCAAATTCTCTTAACTGTTGCTATTATGTTGACACAGTTTGAATGTGTCACCTAAGGGTTTATTGTGAATTAGGAGCTTGGTCCCTACTTTGGCAGTGTTAAAAAGTAGTGAGTAAATTAAGAGGTAGACTCTCCTCAAGGATGAACTAATTCAGGCATGGTCCTCAGTAGACACTAGAGGAAAAATGAACTGTGCAACTTGTGGGCAGGGAAGGGGGAAGAGAAACTAGGAGAAAGTGAAGGAAGAGGTGACGTTGTCCAAAAAGAAATGTGCTCATTACCTGACTTATGAAACGATAACCCTTCTAATAATGACAACAAAATAGTTTTCTAAAAAAGAGGTTGAGTCTCCTTTTCTGCTCAGTGCTCTCCTTTGGGATTTCCAGGTGCAGTGACAACAAACTAAAAGCATAGTCTTGCACCTTTGGCTGCATCTTCCCAACAGATTTTTATCCTGGGTGAACTTGTTTTCCTGTCATACTGGCTTTACATTAGCCTAAGAAGATGGATTAAGAGTGAAAGCTTTCCAAGCAGAGGTTCTAAAGGACTCATATACAGAGAAATTAATTTTCATCTCTATACATGTTGACTAGTTAAAAACCTGACATGTATTCTCAAAGTCCCCTACACAAAATTCATTTATGTGATAAAATTGCCCATTTTCATAAATATAAGGAGAATTTTCACCCTATTAATTCAAATTTCCAAATAATTATAATCCAGAGCAACTAGAGCATATGGGTATCAATCCTTTTCTTATTTCAAAGTACATCTGCTTTTCAACCATATTGTCACACATGAACATCAACATCAGGTTCCCAGAAGTCTAAGTCCTCTTTAGTGTCCCTCTCATGTCCTCCCTGGAAGATCTGCCTTCTTCTGATCTCTTCTTATCTTTTGGCAGTGAGCTCCAAGTCACTGATACTCTCAGTAAATCCACCATTGACATCCATAAGACACTGGAACACAGGGATACAGTGTTTGCCTAGCGTATACAAGGCTCTGGGTTTTATCTCCAAAAGTATGAAAAAAGAATCTGTCATCACAAAGCTGCTTCTTCTGCCAATAGTGACCCCTACATCCTGCCTTAATATATGTAAAGATATTTCTATAAGTCTCACCCAAATATCATTTCCCTGGTACCATCTCTCCAGCTCTGCCCTTCTACCAACATAGTGTTCACAAGACATTATAAGGTATCTAGTTGTGTGTTTTCATATCTGCCTACCTCCCCAGAGTCAGGGCTTTTGAACAGTATTTCAGTGTGCTCAAGAGCTGCCTGGAGAGCTCTTTAAAATGTAGATTCTGATTCTGTGGGTCTGGTATGGAAGCTGAGATTCTGTATCTCACATAGCTTCTAGGGGATACTGAAGCTGCTATCTTAAAGATTCCACTTGAGTAATAAGCTTTGAAGAATGCATGTGAAATGTTCAGAAACTACTGGGTAGATGAGAGAGGGGAGAGGTCAGGGCTGCTGCCTTCATAGAGGACAGAAAGTGTGTGGGGAGAAGATGGATTAGATGGAACAGAGGGTGTCTGAACAGAAAAGGAAGGAGGAAAAAATTAGTGAAGAGATAGGAGGAAGCAAGAAAAAGGGAGGAAAAAACTTTCAAAGGCCAGGGAGGCAGAAGAAATAAGAAGGAAGAGAGGAACAAAGGAAAGAGATGAGGATGGAGGAGAAATGGGTCAGATGACTTCTATTGGTGGAATCTGGCCTACAGTGTATGTCTTAGCAGATGAAGAGTTTCACTTCTGAACAAATGCTCTCCAACTGTGGGTTCTCCAGCCATCCATGTCACAGAAGAGAATATACACACAGTTTCAATATTTTGTTCTAAGCTCTCCCTTTGTGAGAAATCAAGGACAAGCTACTACTGTAAGTAATAAATGAGGGCCCACAGCATGACTGTGGATGCACACAATAGTTTCTTTCAGCTAAGAGCATCTACAACAGCACAAAGTCATCTAGCTGACGACCCCTCAGAACAGCCCCAACAAAAGTTACCTGATACAGTTCAATCCGTTGTTCAGGCACTCTGGCTTTGGGATTCTGCAAACGAAAGACTCTGAACTCTGCTTTCACCAAATTGGAAGCGTTTTTCTCCATCGTTGAGACGTCAAAACGGACAATTCTGAAGTAGGGTCTGTAGAAAGTGGGCGGGATGGCATCTGTAAAAGGTTAGGGCAATGGTTGAAAAGGATAAAAATCCACAGTATAACCTCCCCCCCCCAAAAGAAAAGATCACAGCAGGAAAGCATCCTGAAAAAATCAGAAGGGAAATATCTACAGAATGATTTCATTTCCAATGGTCAATTTAATACCATTAACAATTTAACCAAGGGGGGAAAAAAAAGAATGAGCTAACACAAACATGTGCATTTAGTCACAGGAGTAGCAGATTAACAGAGATTAACAAACCACTTGTAACTACATTTGAGGGCAAGCAGTTAACCCTGTCCTTTGAAGGTTGACAGAGGGTGTAGAAAATCCTAGATGGGTAGAAACTGGAACAAGTTCATGACAGTTGATGCCTGCAGAAAGCTGTCAAGCTTGCATACACTAATCAGATGTGCCAAGAAAATAGCTCCAAATGGCAAGCAATTCACCAGGGTTTTTTCTTTTTTCCCTTGAAAATTTGGTTATCTAAATACTCTATTTTTATTTGGGCACCTTTTTGTATCTTTTCTGGCTTCAATAGTTTGGGGTTTTCACACACAATGCATATGACCAAGTGAGAGCTAGGAAATCTGGATAAACTGGCTCTATTAGATCCAGTGTTAAAACTCTCTTTCTCTGTCTCTCTTTCTCTTCCTCCTTCCCCCTCCATGCAAGTACTGGGACTTGAACTCAAGGCAGGGAAATGTCCCTTAGCTTTATTTCTCAAGGCTTGTGCTCTACCACTTGAATCACAACTTCATGTCCAGCTTTTTGCTGGTTAATTGAAGATAAGAATCATGGACTTTCCTGCCCCAGTTGGCTTTAAACCTTGATCCATAGATCTCAACATTCTGAGTAGCTAAGATTATAGGCATGAGCCAGGGCTCTTGGCTAAACATCTGTCATTCAGGATAATGTCTGCTGGTAGGATGCAATCCTAACTAATAGAGTCAACACAAATTACTTCAGTTACAAACTGATGTCAAAGACAGAGTTCAAGACAACTTCAAGTTCATGGGATGCTTAGTTTTGCATTTATTTTCTAGCAATCTGAAATTACCCTTGAATATTCAAGTGAGGGATATCCAAAGTCTACCCCAAGACAAAGGCAGGTTAATCCTATCCTTCTGCTTTTATATTTTATATCTAACATCCACCTCTGGTGCACCAACACTGGACAGCCCCTTCTACTACAAATATACTTGTACAAGTCTTCTTCCACATCTCCTGCAAATTTACCTTCCCCATTCCAGAAAATTCCATCTAATCTGGTGGCTCCATATCTTTCTAACTTTTGTTCTATTATGCTTCATTACACGTAATCATTCAGTTGTTTGTTTCTCTACAAATGTTTGTATTGCTTTTGTACTCGGCTTGTTTATTGTGTTCTCTCCTATGCACATTTAAGCATCTTGAAACTGTTTTCTAATTCTCCCTGATTCCTCTCCCAGACACCAACACACACACACACACACACACACACACACACACACACACACACACATTCAGGACAAGACTCTATATAAGAGTTCACGAAATATCTACTGTTTGTGTAGTTGGTCATTAATGGGAATCTTGAAAGACTCGGGTATTCAGCTATGGGCAAGGCAAACTTCTTATTAAATAAGCAATCTTGCTGATCTTAAACTCGAAATAAATATCTTTCATGATTTCTTAGGAAATTCATGGCCTGACAATTACACTAAGAATAGAAGAAGAGGCAAAGAGGAAGGAAAGAAATAGGAGGAGAAGGAAGAGAAGGAAGAGCAGCAGCGGCAGCTAGAAACATGTGGACTTTTCCTCATCTAAAGAGCTCTGCATTTTTATTTTTCCTTTGTGTAGACTTTCTTCCATCCTTTTCCCATAGACTTGAGACTCCAAATCCAGGCTCATAAAAAGCTGTGAATTCCAACTCATGGTGTGCTCCATGCTGGTTTCATAAAACAGCTGTGTTATAGTTGATGACTTTGTAGCTGGTGAGCCGTTACGTTTCAGAAATCTACCAACAAACCACAAGCCCCCTCCCCAATCTAAAGCATCCAGATTCTGGAGAAAAAGAATAGTATTCATGCCCCTCCAGTGATGACCCCATGATGACCCACTGCCTCTCAATCCTTGGAATCGCTGGTGGGAAGCTATCAGGCCGTTAAACGTCAGTACCAACGTGAAGGTTTATAAAGTCCCTTAGCACAGCAGTTTGAGAGGAAGCATCTTTTTCTCCTTTGGAATATGTCCATCCCAGTGATTAGAAAAGCTGTTCCCTCCTAACCCTGTGCATCTAAAACCAACCCAGGTGCCCAGAGTGGTCTAAGCAGGACTGGAGCCAGGTTCTCTGGCTTTGGGTACTTTTTTAGCCAGAACTTTCCACGGGCAGAGTGGCTCCATTCATCTTCATTTATCTTCCCCATTAGACAGTAGAAGCAGACGCTTCTAACATCCTTTGTTCGGGAGGGGGGGGAGCGGGGGAGGGAGAGAAAGCATCCTGGGAAGAGCAAGGCTACTTTAATGTATTTCCTGTCATCAGCAACAGTAAACAACTCATTCAAGCACCCCCATTTCTTTCATGGAGGCCCCATGGTCTGTTCTGCTTTCGCAGACACCCCTTTTTCACACCCACCTGCCTCAACTGTATCCTTCCATCAAATTAGTAAATAAGTGCTCTGGAGATTTATTTTTATTCTCTTTGGTGTTTATTAAACTGTGAACGAATTTTTTTTGCCCCTCTCTGGTTTTCTGCCCATACACTCTTCCTTTTTACGGCTGCCTTAGGCCATGGGGTCAATTTTGTTTCTTCTTCTTCTAAGCAAATGGTCCAATGATCCTGTCATAGGCTTTTGAGCTCTGGAGGGGCATGTGCAAATATTTACAAGAGTAGCTTAATAGTTAAGTCATTGTTCTGCTCTGTTCCTCTACATGGCAAACAGTGTTGCGTCGCACTGTCTCTTCAGAACTATTTAGGAGGTTTATATTGTAACTGTCTGATCAAAACAAATCTGCATTTGGGTTCTTGGTTCATAAATAGAAGCAGGACAGCGTGCTGTGGAACAGCCCTGACCACTGACTCTGGCTGGTCCCATCACCCCAGGGAAGTGACCGAGCCTGGAGAAAGCACCACATCAAAAGCACAACAGAACCTGCTGACTGAACAACTTACTATTTTCAAAGGCCAGTCCCAGCTGTCCCCTGCTGTCATCTGCTATGGGTCACAAGCCACGCCCCCTCCACCCCCCCCCCCAGCCTGGATGATGGGCTTGAGCAACCTGCCACACGTCTTCCCAACTGGGAGGGGAGAAACATTGCTATGAATTGCTCTGGCAATTCACCCTTCAGTGCCTTGGGAGACATGGTGCAAGAAGCTGAAAGGAGCCCATCCGCAAGCAGCCAGGATAGGCTATTGGCTCACTCTCTCAGCTCTGGGCGCCAGAGTAGCAGGGTAGGTGTTTGATGGTTTGCACAGCCCTGATCCACCCGCTTCAGTCTTGGAGGGATGGAGCTTTTTTCCTCTGCTTCCTCCAAGAACTCATTCCCCACCCCACCCCCTTCATTCAGAATGGGAGTTTTCTCTGAAGTTTTCTGTAATTCCAATCCCAGTTCCTACTCCAGTGCCAGGTGGTCAGGTATTTGTGCCTGACCTTGGCCAACTTACCCACACTCGTATCCTGGCCCTCTCCTTCCTCTCAATTTCTGACCCACTTTTTTCAGTTCGATCAAATTGATTTTCCTTCCACCCTTCTCAACCAGCTGGCCAGCTCTGCTCCTGCCCCATGCTTTCCCTCTCAGGGAAAATCTTACACAGAGAGATTCCATGTGTCAGTAAGTGAGTGGTGTCCTCCACATCTCAATTTCTGGCTTCATACCCCTGCTAAATCAAATTTGGAGAAATGGAGTGGGGAGAGGGAGGAGGGATTCTAACTTCTTATTGATTTCCAAAATAACAGTGTACAGAGAACTGCAATAGAGTATTGAATCATATACAACTGTATGAACATTATATGTTGATCTGAATCTGTTCCAAACTATTGATTTACTTATACATTTTCTCTTCCCTTTGTAAGTCCCTTGAGCTCAGAGAACTTTGCCGACTGTTCTTTGGGTCTCATGTACAACAAAGCTGGGTTGGCAGTCATAGGCCCAGAGCAGGTGCAAAAAAAAGAGTCCCCATGCTCATCAAAGCCTCATTTTTTAGTTTGTAATACTCTGTGATCACCCTCTTGAAATCTTTAATAATTTTCTCTTCTAATTCATGCTTCATAAGGTCTACCAGAGAGGAAGGCTGAAAACGCAGCTCTTGTGCTAATCCGCCTCCCCATAAGTCTTTGCCTGCTATCCCTTACCCTTGAGCGTTCCTCATCTCATGCAGTCTTTCCTGGTTCAAACACCTAGTGACCATGACCATCCTCAAGAACTAGGGATAGGCATATAACTCGTGACATGTCAGGGCAGGACATGGTGGCGGCTAGCTGTTTCAACCAAAAGCTGGCAGTGACACAGTGTATTCAGTGGGGATGACTTGGTAGACTTCCAATAATGGATCAAGCACATCTCATTGCACAGTATGCAATCATATAGGCTGGAGCAGTGGCTGTATGAGAAGAGACATGCCTGGTTCTAGAAGGTATGCATCTACTGGCTGGTGTCCGGGTCACCCAGCAGCTGGTGGGCTATACATTCTCAGCTGTACAACAGGGTCCTTAAATGCCTCTGAGAGTCTCTTTCAGTCTGGGGGTATTCTTGTACCCAAAGGAAAAGAATTTCAAATAGCCCATTAACACACACACACACACACACACACACACACACACACAGACCAGCACACACCAGATACGGAGGGGGAAGAGGGATAGAGGGATAGATCAGAAAGACATGAAAACAAACAAAAAGTTGTACATGTATTCCAGAATCTTCAACAGCCCTATATTATTGAGTTTTGAACAAGAATCTTTCCCACTATTTCCATTTCAAAGAAAGATGCTGTGAATCCTGCACGGAGCCTGGCTACAATGATGATGAT